TGGGATGGGATACAGGGATGGGATACAGGGATGGGATACAGGGATAGGATACAGGGATGGGATGGGATAGGATGGGCTGGGCTGGGCTAAAGCTTCCCAGGTTGGGATTTGGGAACGTCCCACCCCGCTGTGAGCCCGGAGATGGGATCCGGCCCCTCCTCCAACCCCTCCTGTCCCTCCTTCCCAGACGAGGATCGCTTATCCAAGAGGAAAAGCATCGGGGAGACCATTTCCCTGCAGGTGGAGGTGGAATCCCGGAACAGCCCCGAGCGGGAACAGGTGGGATCCCTCGGGAACACCCCCAGCCAATTCCATGGAATTCTGCGGGAAAAGCGGGGGCGGGGATCACCTTTCCTTCCCTCTCCCCCCCCTTGGAAAACAAAAAATCCCTCCCATTCCTGGGGTTGGGAAAGGGTGACATTTCCTGGAATTCCCGAAAAAAAATCCGAGTTTTCCCGGAGCTGGGAGGAACAGGAGGGGGGGATTTTTCCCACTTTTTGGGAAAAGGGTCGGATTTAGGGATCAGCTTCCCTCTCCGTGCCTCGGTTTTCCCACTGGAAAGATCCCCAAACCCCCCCCCCAAAGAAACCCTTTCCCAAAGATTTCCGGGATCATCCAATCCCGCCATTCCTCCCCAGGGATCCAAAATGGTCTCCCACTCCTGTTGGAGAGGGAAATCCCGGAATTCCAGGAGGGTTTTTGTTGGGAAGGACCCCGAGGATCCTCCCATTCCATGGGCAGGGCCAACTTCCCGCTTCCAGCTTCCAGGAAATCCTGGTTTTCCCGGGATCCAAATGCTCTCCCGCTGCTGTTTGGGCGGGGAATCCCGGAATTCCAGGACAACTTCCCACAGGAAATCCTGCTTTTCCCGAGCCGTGGGAGCCTTTGGAGAAGTTCTGATCCCACCTGGAAACAACAACAACAACAACAAAAAATCCGGGATCTCTTCCCTATAAAAACCACCAAGGGTGGAATTTTTCCCGGTGGGAAAACTCGGTCTGGGAAGGGGTTTTGTGATCCTGGAATGGTGTCCTGGGATACTCCTGGAGCTTCATCCCCTTTTTTTTCCTGGAGCCTCATCCCCCTTTTTCCTGGAACCTCATCCCCCTCTTTTTCCTGGAGCTTCATCTCCATTTTTTCCTGGATCCTCATCCCCTTTTCCCTTTTCCCTCATCCCCTTTTTTCCTGGATCCTCATCCCCTTTTCCTGGATCCTCATCCCCTTTTTTCCTGGATCCTCATCCCCTTTTTTCCTGGATCCTCATCCCCTTTTCCTGGATCCTCATCCCCTTTTTTTCCCTTTTCCCAGAGAGCTCCAGCCGAGGAAATCACCTACGAGACGCTGAAGAAGGCGATCGGTAAGGAGGGGGGAAAAATCCTGGAATTCTGGGAATTACCCAGGCTGGAAAAATCCCTCTGGGATCACAACCCGGCCCTGCCCCCCGTCCCAATCCCCAGGGATGGATTGGGAATCCCTGCAGGGATTGATTGGGAATCCCCCCCTGCCCCGGGAAGTTCATTCCGGTGCCTGACAGCCCTTTCCAGGCGGGAATCGTTCCCAATATTCCCTCTCCCTCCTGGCCCTCATTCCCTGGGAATTGTGGAATTGTGGAGCTGGAAAATCCCCCTCCCGATCCCTCTTTTTCCCCGGGATGAGCCCCTTCCCCCACCTCCTCCCTCCACCCCATCTCCCCCTTCCCGCTCTCCCCAAATCCCGGGATGTGCTCAGATCCCGGGTTTTTTCCCAGGATGTGCTCGTATCCCAGTTTTTTTCCCCGGTCCGCACTCCCATCCCGTTTGGTGTTTATTTTCCCCGGGAATGCCGCGCTCCCATCCCATCCCGTTTGTTTATTTTCCCCGGGAATGCCGCGCTCCCATCCCATCCCATCCCGGTGTTTCTTTTTCCCGGGAATGCCGCGCTCCCATCCCATCCCATCCCGGTGTTTATTTTCCCCGGGAATGCCGCGCTCCCATCCCATCCCATCCCGGTGTTTATTTTCCCCGGGAATGCCGCGCTCCCATCCCATCCGATCCCGGTGTTTCTTTTTCCCGGGAATGCCGCAGCGGACAGCGTGGCGGTGGAGGAGCAGGAGCGGGAGCGGCGGCGCCAGGTGGTGGAAAAATTCCAGAAGGCGCCGTTCGAGGAAATCGCCGCCCACTGCGGGGCCAGGGTGAGGGGAACGGGGAACGGGAATTCCCGGGATTCCCGCCCCGCCGGGAATGCCGGGAATTCCCGCTCATCCCGGGTTTTTTTTGGGGTTTTTTTCCTTGTTTTTTTTTGTTGGCAGGCGACGCTGCTGCAGAGCAAACTCAACCAGATCTTCGAGATCACCATCCGGTCAGGAATCCCGCGTTCCCGGAGGGAATCTGGGAATCCTGGGGGGGGATTTGGGATTTGGGGGATGGATTTGGGATG